AGGAAATCAGTGTCCTGAGGGGCCAAGTGGGTGGCCAGGTCAGCGTGGAGGTGGATTCTGCACCAGGCATCGACCTTGCCAAGATCCTGAGTGATATGAGAAGCCAATATGAGGTCATGGCAGAGAAGAACCGGAAGGATGCTGAAACCTGGTTCATCACCCAGGTACGGAGAGCATGCAGGTGGCCTTTGGGGAGGGGGCAAAGAAAGAGTGTTTGAGGCTCCCCAGCTATGTTGTTGTTAAGTGCCGTTGAGTCGGTTCCGACCTATAGTGATCCTGTATAGGGTTTCCAAGGAGCAGCTGGTGAGCTTGAACCACCAACCATGCAGTTCAAATGGCTTTGCAGTCTGGTGCATCGACCCACAGCGCCACACCAGGACTCACCCGTCCAAATGCTTACTCCCTTCTTACATCGTTACAGACTGAGGATCTGAACCGGGAGGTCGCTGTCCACACGGAGCAGCTCCAGGTCAGCAAAACGGAGGTGACCGACCTACGTCGTACCATCCAGAGTCTGGAGATTGAGTTGCAGTCACAGCTGAGCATGGTATGTGTGCCCTGCGGAAGCTGGGCGGATGGCTGTGCTGTGCTCTCTCTGGAGACCAGGCTCTGCTGAATCCCACCCTCCTCTCTGTCCTCAGAAAGCTGCCCTGGAAAGTACACTGGCAGAAACGGAGGCCCGCTTTGGGGCACAGCTGGCACAGATCCAGGCAATGATCAGCAGTATTGAGGTCCAGCTGAGTGATGTGCGTGCTGACACAGAGCGGCAGAATCAGGAGTATCAGCAGCTCATGGGCATCAAGACTCGCCTGGAGCAGGAGATAGCCACCTACCGCAGCCTGCTCGAGGGCCAGGACGCCCACTACAACGACCTGCTCACCACTACCAAGCCCATCTGAGGCCTGGGCTTCTTGCCTTCCTGCAGGAGGGTTCTCCTGGGCAAGGGTACCAAAGGGGAGGGACCCTTAACCTTGTCTCTTTCCCAGAATTGTCAATAAAACTTGATGGCATGTTTGGTTCTGTTGTCTTTGCCCATGAGCATGGGCCAGGACTTGGCTCTGGTTAGGTTTTATTGGAATCAAAGTCCATAGAACACTCATATAATCCCTGTTTACAAGAGTTTTCATTGATCTAGCTCTTCATTTCCTTACAACAATTCTGAAATAAGCATTGCTCCCATTTTACAGCTTCAGAAAAGTGAAGTGGTTGGTTGTATATGTAACTGTTCTAACACAGCGCAAAGATGGGATTTGAAACTATGGATTTTATTTACAGATTGTTTTCTACCATGCTTTCTGAAGGGTTGGTGTCTATATGTGCTTAGTAACTTTTTCTCTGTGACATTTAATCAAGCAATCCCAAAAGGTTAGAATGAACTGCATACAAAGATCAGGAAATGGATTCAGAGAGGTTAAGTAACTTGTCCAAAACCACAGAGTGAGTAGGAACAGAGCCAGGTTTCCTAATTCTTGGCCCCCTGTGCCACCCTGCCCAGACAGTCTCCCTGAGTTGATACTACCTGTGTCAAATCCTTGAGCATATTCTACTGCTGCTCCTTGTGAAGGTCTAGGGCTGGGATCCCTTGGGGCCATTTTATTCGGACCCATTTCTCTATTTACCTGAAGCAGGAACTGGGGCCTTGAGTAATCGGGACAGACAAATCCTGTTCTGAGCAAGTAGAGAAGGCAGTCCCTGCACGGTGTGTCTCTGCCTGCATGTACTAACATATTCATCTGTTCAGGGCAGCCCCTCATAGCCCCTGACACCCACCAGTCCATACCTGGGCCCAGAGCCTGGAATGGGACCTAGCTGTGACCCAGACCTCCCACATGGACCCTCAACTAGAGCTTGCCTCAGGGCCTCCCTGGGTCAGCAAAGGAACACAAGTCCCAGCTTCCTGGTACAACTCTGCCCTTGGGTGGGTATGGCCCTGCCCCTGTGGTTTACAGCTCAGCTGCCAAGAACTGAGACCAATTAAAGGTAAACGAGGCCCACAGAGCAGTCCTCTCCCCGCTGGCTGAGCCGCTCACACTCACCCTGTGAGGGAAGAGGCAAGCCAGGGATACCAGTGCCACTTCCTGGTCCCTTTGAAGACTGCTAGAAGGCCCCCTGAGATTGAAACTTTGCTGCTTTGTGTGCCCAGCACAGAGCTAAGAAGGCCCGTGGTCCCATCATACAACATGCTAATAAGCCTGTGCTGATTTCACTTGCTCCAAATCACAATTGCTGAGGGGCAAACAGGCACTTGTGATGCTCGACTCCTGGGCTGAAGTACCCTTCCCTGCTGTTCTCCAGCCTCTGCTCTGGCCTCCAGCACCCATAAGCCTCCTCCTGCCCTCTCTCTGAAGTTCCCAGAAGGCCCGGGAGCTGGAGGTCAGAGGTCAAGTCATACCTCTAGGCTGGGACTGCCCAGAGAGAATTTGTCTCCTGCCCATGAAAGCCTCCATTGTCATAAGTGAAATCTTCCTCTGTGCCTGTGGGGCCCCAGGAATGTGGCTGTGGCCCACATAGGTGGGGCAGGTAACTGGGTTGCAAGTGTGGGTATCAGGAATGAAGCCTTCCTTTGTACGTTTTTTGGAGGTGGGGAAGGCGAGCATAGGAACACTTTTCTGTGTCAGTCTAGGAGATGTATCTGTGGGGACCAGGAAGCTTGGATGCTTTGTTGATTAAAGTCTGGTCCAGATCAAGAAGGCTGGGATGGTGGGGAGAGAAGGGGGTAGGGTGAGGTTTCCCCCACTCTGTCACCATGTCTACTTGGCTGTTTGCTAAGTTGCTTCCTGTTGGTCACCTTGCTCCATCCCTGTGAGTCAGACCAGGCAGGAGTGATTTCTATTTCTCCAAATGATAGACCGAGGTGCAGAGAGAGGGGGCATGGTTACCAAAAATCACACACCTAATAAATGAGAAAGGAGGAATTCCAAGTGAAGTCTCCAGGTACCATGTCAGATGCTGTGCCCACGGCCACTCCATGGGGAATCGGGGAGCTGGGGATGGGTTCTAGCTCTTACGGCGTTCTCTTTCCTCGTAGTAAATGATGGAACATTCGTTGGACATTCAGATGGTAACTGAAAGCTTGGTAATGTGAACCATTCCACAGAGGTGAGGGAGAAAGTCCTGGTGATCTCCATCTGTGAGCTGTGAGGAGTTGGGTAGACCTGTAGAGCAGTTCTACCTTGTCCTTTGAGGTCGCTGTGAATTGTAAATCGACTTGATGACACCTAACACCACGGTCTTCCTCGCATTGCCACTAAATGTTCACTATGGCCTCAATCTGGAGTCGGTTTTCATGACCCAACTTCAAGCCAGGAACTGGGCTCAGAGAGGTTGAGTCACACCTCTTTCCATAGGGCTGTTCTGTCCCATCCCAAGGAGGGGAGGCCCAGCTCTAGAGATGGCATGTCTACCTGCTGTGAGCAAAGGACAGAAACTGCCACAGTCTCCTGGGTGTAATGCATGGGGCAGGGCCTGGGACCCAACCACCCAGCCATCTCTGCCTGGCACTAATGAGCAGGCCTAGGGCATCTGTCCAGACCTTGAGCTTGAGACCTTGAGCTTGAGACCTTGAGCTTGGACCATATCCAGGGATTTGCGATGGGGGCAATGAGTGAGGGGCAGATCCACTCTGACGTGGGCCTGGGCTATAGGGAAAGCTACCTCGAGGGGCTTCTGGAGGAGAGGGAGGGTGCCCAAGAGGCACTGGCCAGGGTCCAGTTCTCCCTAACCCTGGGGTGATGGCAGGTAATTGCTCCTGTGTTAATTGCTGGGGCCGTGATGTCTGCAGAGGTTTAATGAGCTCTGGCTGATTTTGAGTTTGATTATTTTTCTTTCCGAGGAAAAGACAATATCCTTCCACCCACGATCACACTACTACACTGTCTTGGCCCAGCACTGTGGAGGTCCAGCTCAATGAAAACCTGAGTGAGGAGGAGCCCACCCCCACCTAAGCCCCTGTCCAGAAGCAAGAATCTGAAGTCTGTGAAGTGACCGTTTTTTCCTGCCCTCTGTTTGAATGGCTGTTAGAAGCTGTGCCACCATGCACAAATCACATTACCTCTCTGAGTCCTAACTTCTGCCTCAGGGACAGAGGTCATCTCTGGGAGTGTGGATTAGAGGAGACAAACTGTGAAATGTGCAGTGGAGTCCAGGGTTACTGTTTCTGCAGCAAGAAGAACTTCCTGGTACACTGCCCAGTAGGAGCTGGCTATAGGAGAGTGAGGCTGCTAAGCCTCTTGGCTCCCAGGGCATGATGCTCAGACTAAAAATATCTCCTGGCAAGAGTCCTCAGGAGTTACAGGTACTGGACATACACCCCACTGAGCAGCCCCACCAAGAGCTGGGGAGCCAGAGGAGGCAGGATGGGGGTTCCTTGGCCTCAGGGCTTTCCTGTGAGAGCTGAGAGTACCCCCACTCCCCTCAGAAATTTGAGACTTAAAAGTAATAGGTTAAGTGGTAACTGATAGAATCAGTATTTGAACCCAGGCCTCAGTGACTCCAAAGTCCTGTTTGCCTCAGCTTGCTGCAGCCTTAGGCCAGGACTCTTCAGCCCAGTTTTGGCTCCCCTTTCCACCTTCTAGCTTCCCACTCACACAGGAGGACTAGGCCAGGCCTTCCGGGAGACTGCCCACAGGTATCTCTGGAGAGCAGGGGCCCTGAGCTGCTGTGGGGAGAACAGAGTTCTGAGCGATCGAAGCCCTTCTCTGACCTCACTCTCCTTCTCTGTAAAGTGAGGCTTTGGTCTCCAAGTTCTCAGAGGTGTCTCATTTCCTCCTCCCTCCCCACAATGTTCAGAACTTTCTGGGGCCCCTCCTCAGCCCTGCAGCACCTGACAGGACAAACAGGGTTAATCTGACCCTGTTAAGCATGGACATGTCTCTCCTGGAGGAGGCAGGGGCTCTCTGGAACTTGTCCTAATCTTATCTGTAGATGTTTGCCCCAACTCGTCCCCCAAGCAAGCACAGGTTTAGTGACATGTGCAGTTGGCAGGTAGCGGGATTATCAATCAGCTCCTTGTCAGCCTGTGGGCTTTTGTGAGTTTTCAGTGCCATGGGCTTGGGGGTGAGGAGGCTGCAGAAGCGGGAGGGGGTGCAGCTGGGAGAGTGTCCATTTTCTGCATCTGCGAAGGGAAGATGCTGGCTCCTCTGGTCATCCCAGCTGGAACTTGACTCCAGACCCCTGGCCTGTCCTTAGCCTGACTCTATGAGCCCAGCACTCCTTCTGTGATCCCTGAGAGCTCCCTCTCCCCAGCCTTGCAGGCTCATGCACCAGCTGTTGGTTAAGAGAACGCAGACCAGCAATGGGGAAGTGGACCCTCAAACACAGAGGTGGACTTGCCCTTGTTAGGGTGATGGTCTTGGGCTGGGGGCAGCAGAGCAGCCCAACCAAGGGCTCAGCCTCTCTAACAGTTCTGGCAGAAGCTTTGATAGGCGTGCTGGATAAAAGCATGCCTGCTACTCCGTTTTCTCCTGGAGTGTAGAGGTAAACCTGTAATCCAAGTGTTAAAACCATGGCCCAGGGCAAGGCACCATTAATTCTGAATCATTCCTTTTGTTGCATTGAAACAGAAAAAAAAAAAAAAAAAAAGAAGAGAAAAACTCTGCCTCAGTCCTGTAGAGATGTGCAGGCAGCTGTATTTGTCAAGAATGCAGAAGGAGTCGGCTTCTTTTTGTGGGAGGAGACTCCGATCCTACAACACCCTTCAGGATATATAAGGAACCCCAGGCTGAGGGCTGGCAAGGCGCAGCGCTCCAGTGTTGTTTGGTCCTGCAGTTTTGTGCGCTTGTTACTGCTGAGACCTTCCCCGCACCGCTGCCTGGCATGACCACCACGTTTCTGCAGCCCTCGTCCTCCACCTTTGGGGGTGGTGGCTCTACCCGGGGAGTTTCCTTCCAAGCTGGGGGAGGTGGCTTTGGTGGGGCGAGTCTGTGCGGGGGAGGTGGAGGTCGTAGCATCTCGGCTTCTTCCACTAGGTTTGTGTCCTCGGGGTTGGGAGGGGGCTATGGGGGTGGCATGAGCTGTGGCTTTGGTGCAGGTGCAGGTGGTTTTGGTGGAGGCATTGGAGGTGGCCTTGGAAGTGGCATTGGTGGGGGTTTCAGTGGTGGCTTTGGTGGTTTTGGTGCCATTGGTGGCGATGGCGGTCTCCTCTCTGGCAATGAGAAGATCACCATGCAGAACCTCAACGACCGCCTGGCCTCCTACCTGGACAAGGTGCGTGCCCTGGAGGAGGCCAATGGTGAGCTGGAGGTGAAGATCCGTGACTGGTACCAGAAGCAGAGTCCTACCACCCCAGAGCGCGACTATAGCCACTACTTCAAGATTATTGAAGAACTCCGTGACAAGGTGAGTGCTCACTATCTGAGGAGAGCATGTAGGAGGGGTGCCCTGCACACGTCCCTAAGGGCAGTGGTACTAGTGATTCGAGGGACTCACTCTCTGGGGTGTAAATTCAGTAAACTTGGAATGGAAGGAATGCTTTTCAGGTTCAGATGCTGGCACACATCTGCTTGACTTGGCAGTCAGTGTCAGAGGGACCAATGGGGACACAGGTGAGACTAACTGTCACTCCACACCCTCTGCAAGGACCTACAGAAATTGCTCTGCTACTTCTTTACAAGAGTGGTGCTTCATGCCCCTAAATGCCAGGATCTCCTGCTGCACCCTTTAAAGATGTCTTGAGTGCCAACATCACTGTTGGGACTTAGGAAACCTGGGAATTCATTACAGGCTCTGCTGCCCACTCACTCACCTGATCACTCACTGGGTCCTGCTTCCATCTCTGCAAAATGCCTTCTGTAGTTGTCCTCCAGGCTCTGCAGATCTCTGGCTGTGCCAAGGTGTGCAGAATTGCCAGCAGACCATGAACTGTCCAGAGAAGAGGCTGGTGGAGTCCTGGAATCTACAGCACCCCACTCCACCATGCCCTCTCAGGACATTCCCACAGGGGATTCCAGGCAGCCCTGCTCCTCAGCCTTTCAGGGCCTGGAGACAGTGAGGGCAGTCCCTCAGGTGTCCCTGGGTGGATGGTGTGGGGCCAGACCAAGTAATGGACACTCAGGATGAGGCAGACTCTGCTCTAAGACCCTTCAGGTTTCCATAGGTGACTTCAGCGGGGAGATTCTCAGAGAGAATTCAAATCTTGAGGTAGGACAGGGAAAACAGCAGGGAAAAGGGAAGGCATCCTCTGGCCACCAACTCCCTATCTCCTGCAGATCCTGGCAGCCACCATCGACAACTCCCGTGTCATCCTGGAGATTGACAATGCCAGGCTGGCAGCGGATGACTTCAGACTCAAGTGAGCTCCCACTTCCCTCTCCCCTTCTGGTATCCCATGTTTTCCTGCCCCTGGCTCTAGCAGTTCATATTCCTCCCCTTCCTTACTTTTAGCTCTGCCTCACCTTCTCCACAGGTATGAGAACGAGCTGGCCCTGCGTCAGAGCGTGGAGGCCGACATCAATGGCCTGCGCAGGGTGCTGGACGAGCTGACCCTGGCCAGGACTGACCTGGAGATGCAGATTGAGAGCCTGAACGAGGAGCTGGCCTTCCTGAAGAAGAACCATGAGGAGGTGAGGGTGGGCTAGGGGCTGGGGTGTGGTGGGAACAGATTGAGCAGCGGTGCTTCCTCAGAGTTGGCAAAAGGGTGTAGTGGTTCAGAAATGCATCCCCCGTTCATGTCAGATCCAGGGGCCCCATGGAGAGGAAGTGCTGCATCACGCTTTATCCTCTGTTGGGTGGACCCAGATTCTTCGTTTCTGACCTTCAGCCAGGCAGGGTGGCCAGTGTGGACTGCTACCCTTCTGGTTTTCTTCATGAGCTTGCACAGAGCCCTACTGTTTTGGGGTTCTCCCTTGGTAGGGTATACAGTAGAAAGAAGAGAGACCCTCAGAACTGGGAGGTCCAGGTGATCAAACCTCCATCAATCAATCAGTCAGTTGTTTTTCAATCAAGAAGAAACAGCAGTTCCCAGGGAGGGTGTGCCAAGGCCTCAGGTGGGTTAGGGGCAGAGCTAGATGGGCACACAGAACCCTAGACCCTTGGCTCTCTCTTCTGCCCTCTCTAAATGGGCTCCTTGCACCTATAGGAGATGAAGGAGTTTGGCAGTCAGCTGGCGGGACAGGTCAATGTGGAGATGGATGCAGCACCAGGCGTGGACTTAACCCGCGTGTTGGCTGAGATGCGGGAGCAGTACGAAGCTATGGCAGAGAAGAACCGCCGGGATGCTGAGGCCTGGTTCTTCAGCAAGGTGGGCTGACTTCCAGCCCCAACCTAGCTCTCCAGGTCTCCGAGAAGGTCGTAAGGCTTACTCCTCTTGTGGGTGATTTACAGACTGAGGAACTCAACAAAGAGGTGGCCTCCAACACGGAAATGATCCAGACCAGCAAGACGGAGATCACAGACCTGCGACGCACACTCCAGGGGCTGGAGATTGAGCTGCAGTCCCAGCTCAGCATGGTAGGACCACCCATCTGTACCCAGCATCTCTGGGCACAGTGGTCACGCCCACCCTCCATGACTGCTTAAACCCTTTGGGGTGTTCGCCCGCACTCCACTTGGTCCCTCTCCTCCCCCCTGCCCCTGCTGGGTTTCTAGACAGCCTGATGTGTCCACTCATCTGCTGTCCCACCAGAAAGCCGGTCTGGAGAGCTCCCTGGCAGAGACTGAGTGCCGCTACGCCACGCAGCTACAGCAGATCCAGGGAATCATCGGCAGCCTGGAGACCCAACTGAGTGAGCTCCGGTGTGAGATGGAGGCTCAGAACCAGGAGTACAAGATGCTGCTGGACATCAAGACGCGGCTGGAGCAGGAGATCGCCACCTACCGCAGCCTGATTGAGGGCCAGGATGCCAAGTACGAGGAGGGGTACTGGGAAGGAGGGGAGGCAGGGGCTGGGCTGTGGTTCTTTTTAAAGGGACAGATTCATTTTAAAGGGACAGAGAGTGTTCCCTGCCACAAGTGGTAGTGTGGAATGATGCAAAGAGAACTGGGTAAGGAGTAATGAGTTCTGGACTCTGGACTTTGGTCTTTGGCTGTGACACCTTGGGAAGGTCATTTCACCTATGTCTAGACCTATTTTTTTCTGTAAAGGATAGAGGTTGGGTTTGTTCTTGTAGTTAACTGCCATAAAGTAGGTTCCAACCCATTAGTGACCCTGTATAGGGTTATCTGAGGATCCAGCGACTGGTGAGTTTGAACTGCCAACCTTGAGGTTCAAATGACTTTGCAGTCCAGTGCATTAACCCACAGCGCCACACTAGGACTCTTGTTAAGTGCCATCGAGTCAGTTCTGAACCATAGTGATCCCACATAGAGTTTTCAAGGAGCGGCTGGTGAGCTTGAACCACCAACCTTGCAGTTCAAACCGACTTTGCAGTTCAGCACATTAACCCGCAGCACCACACTTGTCTTCTAAAATTTAATTCTGGTTCCATTATCTGCATGACATAGATGGAATACTATTGTACATCAGAATCAATCTATTGGGGTGGCCGACTTGGAAGGGTTATCTGGATGTCTCAGTGCCTAGAGAAGACAATCCTGTGGGGAGGTGATGGTATGGGGGCTGGAAGGACAGTTTAACTGCTCACAGGGACCTCCAATGAGGGAGACCTGAGCTTTTGCCCTTTGCTTCCATCTGCTTCCCTCTCTCTTTCAGGATGGCTGGCATTGGCACCAGGGAAGGTAAGAAGCTCAAGTCTCCTGGTAGGGGGAAGGGGAACATTGTTGAAGCCACCATTTATCTTGGAATAAAGAGGGAGGAGAAAGAGGACAAACATTCCAGTGGGGGTGGAAATACCTTTTCCCCAGAGGGCCCTGTACTGGCCCCAGGTGGCCTCTCAGGTTGAACAGACTTTGCCCAGGGCATGATTCTCCTTCAGGCCCCACATTTCCCATGTGTACTGTGTAATATTGCTGCTCAGATGCACTTCTAAACCCTGCCATCCATCTCGCTGAAGGGCGTCCCTGCAGCACTGGGTTTGTCCTGCGTACTAGTCCCCTGCTGCTGCCATAACCTTCCTCTTTGAGAAATAATCCAGCATCAGACCTCCTGGCCAGTGGCCATTCTTGGGGTGTTGTCCAGTTCTCCTGGAGCTCAGTTAAGGTCCTGGCCACCTAGGATGGAGGGAGGGCGGGATTTCCCCTTCTAAAGCGTGCTCTTTCTTTCCATAGCTTCCCTGGGAGGTGGTGGCGGCGTCAGCAAAGTCCGCATCAATGTGGAGGAGTCAGTGGACGGGAATATAGTGTCTTCCCGGAAGAGAGAGATCTAAGAACTCTCAGCGCAGGAGAAATATCCCTTGTCAGCCCCACCCTTCCCAGGCTGGGTGGAAGGGTTGGAAAAGCTAACTCCAGTTCCTGTTCTCAGAGAGTGGCCTGCTGCAGGTGGCCCCTCTGCTTGCTAGTTGGGGGCTTTGCATGCTCGCTGTCATTCCACAGGCTCACCCCTGCCTGCTCTAGAGTGGGGGGTGGAGGAAACTGTATTGTGTAGTTCATTTGCACGATGTCTGTCCATGCAATAAAGACTTGCTTTTCCTTTTGCAATGGGTCTATTTCTCCCTATTGGAGCCTAGGTTAGTCTGTGATCTTTAAGGAGGCCCAGGGCCACTATACTGATTTCTCTCCTGACTTTGGCCATTCCTGGAATGGTCATAATTCATTCTTTGGGATGCCCAGTGGATTGGTGCCGGGAACAAACCCAGTGCTGCTCAGGTGAACTTGATCTTTTGGCTTACCCCACAGGGTGACAAAGATGTAGATGGAGGTAGAAGTCTCCCTCTAAGAATTTGGGGTCACTAGCATAGTCACTGGGGTCCTGATGTGGTGCTGTAGGATAAACACTGGATTGATAACCACTCCTCAGAAACCCTATACAGGGTTGCTATGAGTTGGAACCTACTCCATGGTCCTTAACAACAATAGCACAGTTAGTGGATGGTGCAAACTGAAAAGCTGGCTGGTCAAAGCCACCCAAAGTTGCCTTGGAAGAAATGGCTGATGAACTGCTTCCCAAAGGTTAGAGCCCTGAAAGCGCTGTGGAGCACAGTGCTACCCTATACACATGGAGTCACCATGAGTGGACAGAGACTAGATGGCAGCTGGTCCTGATGGCACAGAACTTGGCACATTTACTAATTAATGATTTAGTGAATGACAGACTTTGTTGACTCAATACCATATGGCGGGCACTGTGCTAGGCATACCCCCCTCCCCCCACACACACCTGTCTCATCTGATCAGCATGACTGGCATGGGGGTGGAGGCAGGATTTATGATACTCATCTTAGTGATGCGAAAACAGACCCAATAGTATATAAACATCTTATATGAGACATCTAGAATTGGCAAGTTGATAGAGAGGAACATTTAGTAGTGGTTACTAAGGGTGAGTGGGAAGGGAGGGGGAAAGGGGAACATATTATTTAGGGGACACCGAGCTTCTGCTAAGGGTGACAGAAAGATGTGGAAACCAACAATGGTGTTGCTTGGACAGCGTGATAAACACAATGTCCCTGAGTTGTCCATGCCTAGAATGTCAGAGACAACTTGATGGCAACTGGCAGAGAATGTTGAAATGGCAGATGTCATACATACATCTGTACTATAATAATAATAACAGATGGCAACCCAAACACTAAAGTCATCTGGCCTTGTCTTTCCCAGCCTTTACCTGGGTCCCTCCCTGATCATATAAGCCGCTAGATCCTCTCCAACATTCTAGCCAGCCACACCCGACCTCCAGAGCCACCTCTGCCAACACAGCTTTCTCTCTCCCTTCTTGCAAAGCTGGTACCCTACCAACCCCCCACAGCTACCGCCTCCTCCCCAGCAGGGCATGTCTCTCTGCCATTAAAGTGCCCAGAGTAAAAGACACCAGCTCCTGGAAGTCCTCCTGGAGTTTCCCAAGCATATGTGTAAAATGCCCCCTCCTGCTCTCCTGGTGTAAATCCTGTTCCTGTTCCCTGGTCCAAAGCATCTCTATTCCCTGGGCCTGCTAGAACACCTGGTTTGTTGTCTCTGGTATGGGACTGGTTTCTCTGAGCTCCAGCATTCAAAGCCCCAGACAGAGGAGCAAGAAATGAGGGGAAAGGAATCTGGGCTGGGCTTAGGGGTTGGGGTGAGGATGGGGGCGCGGGGCAAGGAAGGCAAACCAATTTCTGAGTACGGCTGGGAAGAGCAAATTGGAGGCATCTCTGTTCTCCAGAGAATGGGCTTTTGTAGGAAGAGCCAAGCCTGCTGAGGGGGCTTGCCCAACAGCCCTGGTTGGAGAGAGGGAGCACCTGCCTTTTCTGGAGGAGATTCAGTAAGAATGTGTTTCCTGAGAACACATGTTGAAGCTATATTCCTTAGGAATGGCGGAAGGACACAGAATTTGGAGGGTCTGCAATATTCCATTTTGGGGAAGGCGTCTCATTTACTCTCACGATACAGTTGTGAAGCCCGTGTGAACCTATTTTTAGAAGAGGAAACTCAGAGTCAGAGAAATGAAATAACTTGACTGAGCTCACAAACTATGAAAGAATGAAGAAGCTTGGGACCCATGTCTCTATTCCAGACCCTTGCTTTCCCTTGGGCTTTCCTGGGTGGTTCAAATGCTCAAGCACTTGCCTACTAGCCAAAAGGTTGGTCATCGAACCCAATGGCATCACTAGGGAAGTGTGGACCACAGTGGGGAACACTGTTAGTGGGGGTGACACCACTATCAAATTTTTGTGCTGTGTTTCAGCAGAAATTTATTTTTAAAATAAAAATATCCCTGTAATTAGTTATAACAACAAAGACATTTTTTATAAGCTCAGATTGTATGTTTCAATCTACCTACAAAACTAACACTCTGTGCTAATTAACTTTTTGAAAATTCTAATGCACTCTGGGAGTCCTGGTGTGGCACTGTAGGGTAGGCACTGGACTGCTAACAGCAAAGTTGGCAGTTCAAACCCGCTAGCTGCTCTTAGGAAACCTTATATAGGGTCACTATGGGTTGGAATTGACTTGACGTCACTTAACAACAACAACAATGCACACTGGTTAGAAGTGTCTTTATTATCCAATTACAATGATGCTTTGAATCATGTGATTTCATCTGTTGTTTTCATTGCTGCTGGTGTCTTTATAACTGTTGACTATGCCAAATCTTCTGGTGTTTTAGCTACAATATTGTGGCATGTAGTATTTGTGAAACTCTATTGATAACTTTTTTGAGAATGAAGTTGTAATTAAAGGAAAAGGAGAAAAATTCCAAGAGGCTTCTACTCAAGTTACTAATAATGTAACTAACAATGCTTCAATTCAATGGAGAAAGATTTTACAAAACAATTTTGTTGTTAATACGCATATAATCTAAGACATATTACAACATTTATCACATATTATTCTATGGTTAAACTGGATGGTAAACCTGAGTAAGGATTCTGCACGTATGGCAGGCGGTCTGCTGGTGTGGGGTGTGGGGTGGGGTCGGATGACACCAACTCCAGTGACACCACTGTTTGAACTCACCCAGAGGCACCTTGGAAAACAAGCCTGGTAATCTGCTTCCGAAAGCTTTGGAAACCCTGTGGAGTCGTGCTGCTCTGCACGCATGCAGTTACTGTGAGTTGGAATTGACCCCTTGGCGTCTGAGGATGCTGTAGACGGAGTGCTAATCTGAAACCCACTTTATAACCTCTGCGAACAATCTGTTCAAATGCCTAAAACTGTCAGAAAGCTTTTTCTTACATCTAACTTTACTTTCATGTGCTGTGGCTTAAGCGACCCTGAAGCCCAAAGCTTTGACACCCCTGAAAGAGCTGGGTTCCTTCCTGGTGGTCTAAGCGGTGGCCTGACTGTATTTGTTACCTCATTGGTTCTTTGAGTATCTCTAGAGAAGTTTCTGGTCTTCTAAGCAGCCAGCAAATGGTCTTCTCGGCGGTTAATTTGCAAAAATAGCCACCTCTGTAAAAGGTGCAGACGGGCTTTGCCCTTGTGCTGCACCCAGAGTCCGCTTTCCCAGCGTAGGACCCTGAGGTGTGGGCGGGAGTGATGGCTGTTGCTATCTTCCTGAAGGTCTCGTTTCTGCTCTCCTGATGTCCTTGGAGAGACTGTCAGAGAGGTCCTTGGAGTTTGCCTGTCCTGTTCCCTGCCTGACCTGCAGTGAGGTCCTGCACCCTGGTGTGGCTCATGCCCTGTTTAACCCTCAAATAGCCTCTGAGAGCGATGGCACACCTTCTGCGTGCCCCGGACTGGAGTCAGGTTGGGTGTCCAGCCAATGGGAAGCCGGCAGCTGGTGAAGCTCCACGGAGAGAGGATGGTTTTGGATTAGAGATTAGGACTTTAGGTGTGTCTTCTGCTCGGGCGGGGCTGCACAGAGTGGGCAAGCCTGCCATTTTTTTGTGGAGCACTTAGGCTGGTCCTTCTTCTTTGGGACTAAGTTTCCCCACATGTAAATAGAGTATTCTGACTGGATGAGATGATATGTGAAGGTCCCTGTGAATGGTCTGTGTTCTGAGTTCTCAGGAAAATAAACAAAAAACCAACCTTTGCTGTCTAGTTGATTCTGCCTCATGCTGACTCCTTGTGTTGTGGGTAGAATGCTGCATAGGATTCTCTGGGCTGTAGAGCTCTGGTAGTGTAGTGGTTACGAATCGGGCTGCTAACCTCAAGGTTGGTAGTTCGAAACTACCAGCGGTTCCGTGGGAAAAAGATGAGGCTTTCTGCTCCCTTAAAGATTTACAGCCTCGGAAACCCCGCGCAGGGTCACCATGAGTCGGAACCGACTCCACGGTACTTAACAACAACAACAATCTTTATGGAAGTAGATTGCCAAGCCTTTCTTCTGAGGCATCTGTGGGTGGGTTTGAACCACCAACTTTTCAGTTAGTAGCCAATCACTTAACTCCTGAATCCTGTTGTTGCTAAGTGTGACTCATGACAACCGTGTATAGGGTTTCTGAGGTGCCCTGGTGGGTTTGAACTGCTGACCTTGCAGTTAACAGTCCAGTGCTTATCCTATAGCACCACACCAAGACTCTTCTGAATCTTGTAGATGCTAAATAAATAATTGTTAAACCAATGAATGAACGTCTCCTTTTCTTTTTCCTGTCCTTAACATGGCTCGGAGTTCTGGTGTGACACTGTGGTTAATGCACTGGATTGCAAGGTCGCTTTGAACCTCAAGGTTGGTGGTTCAAGCTCACCAATTGCTCCTTGGAAATCCAATACAGGGTTGCTATGAGTCGGTACTGACTCGGTGGCACTTAACAACAACAACAAACATGGCTCACTTGTATTTGGTGGTCACCTGTCCTGCCACAGGTAGCTGTCAACACAGGGGACGTAAGGAGCTGACAGCTGAATTTCTCCTGCCTGGGGAGGCCCCTCCCTGTGGAAGAACCATCAGGGTTTCGGAGGCAGGTAGGGAGGAACCTGATCCCAAGAGCTCTAGGTTAGGAGATGAGAACAGGGTTTAAGCCTCAACTATGCTGATGAACAACCTGGTGACCTTAGACAAGTCTTTGAGAACAAGCAATTTAGAAGGGTGTTGCTGAAGGAAACTTCAAAACTGTTTTGCTGTTAGGCTGAAGAAACTGAGGCCCACAGTAAATTGTTGGTAGAGTTGGAAATTGATTCCAGACATTTCCAGTTTCACACTTTTCTGCTTGTTTCCCAACTGGGCCTCAGTTTCCCTAGGTATGGAATGAAGGGGTTGGATTAAAACTTTCCTGTCATAACTCTTTCTCTGACTTTCAGTACTGGGTGAATCCCAAAGACCCACTGAGCTTTAAGGCTCACAACAGAGACTTCCAGAAGACAGGTTACCAGCTGCACCAAGGACAATGAGAAGCATGTCCATTTACAGGGATGGTCAGGCTTGGGGGCAGGTAGGGGATCTGAGGCTGGAGAGGGCAGCTGACAATGCCTTGCTGCTGGGGACAGCACTAACACTGGATGGAAAGGGTTAAGACAGATCCTGGAACTAAAGACTTGAATGTTGACTCTGACACAATTAAACTTTTGAGTTTGGGTAAATAATTAACCTCTCTGGGTCTCAGTTTACTCATCTGAAAAAGGGGTCTGATAAAAAATAGAGTTTTTTTTTTAGGGTCTACTCTATTTTAGGGTCACTATGAGCCGGAATCCTGTTGCCAGCAGTGGACTGGGGTTTGGTTTTGTTGGTATCTTTACCATCTCATAACACACATAAGAAGCCTTCGTGTCACTGTAGTTATGATAAGCACTGTGCTGTTGACTGCAAGGTCAGCGGTTCAAACCTCCATGGGAGAAAGGTAAGGATTTCTGCTCCTATAAAGATTTACAGCCTTGGACACCTCCCTATACAGGGTGACTATGACTTGATGGCAGGAGATTGGCTTTTTTCTGGTTTTATAACACATGTAGAATGAAACACTTAGAGATCAGATGCCTGAGTTCACAACAAAGCTGCCGGGACATCGCCAAGTGTGGTAGAATGAGCCAGAGCGCAGGTTTATTTGACCTGAATAACGATGTCTTCCCTGAGCCTCAGCTGCCTCATCTGTAAAGTGGGCTAATAAAAACCCACCTCCACTGCAGTGAGACTCAATGACAACATGCAACACATGGGTCTTGCTTTTGGGGGCTGCTCATAAATGCAGGGTTTCTGTCTCTTCCCTTGAAACGTTACTGGGAAGCAGGCTGAATTGGGTGTTATTGTGCCAGAAAGTGAAGCAGAAACTTTTAGCCCCTCTGTCTCAGCATCAGTGCCTGGGACAGGTCTCTGCCTCTGCCCAGCTTCCTCTCCGAGGGGCAGCCAGCGTGTGCCCGCAGTGCATCAGACTCTGTTCACCTGGTCAGAGGAAGGCATTCCTGTGTCAGGGAACCATGAGGCCTGCTTGGGGTGGGAGGAGGGCTGGGCCTTGACCTGGGAGGGGAGGCATGCCCCGGCCACTTGTGTTTGTTCTACTGGGACTTTGGAGGATCTGTGGCATTGTTACTCCCAGAGGCGTTGGCCTGAACCTGCTCATCAGCCTGGGGAGGGTTGGGGCACCGTCACCCAGACCTGGCAGGTCCCATTAATCTCCTTCTGTCAGTGTTGATCCTCCACCGAGAGGGCGAGCTCCTGCTTTGGGCGGAATCATCTCTTTTCAGAGAGAGAGAGCTGAGCCATCAGCTTGGCCAGAGGGGCAGGGCAGGGCAGGGGCAGGGGTCAGCATGAATGAATCTTTGATCTTTGAGTGCCCTGCAGCGGCACACCTGGGCCCTCTTTCTCCTGCTGACACCCACTGGGTGAACACAGGCCTGCTTCCCTACCCCTGGAAGACAAAGAATGCGAATCCCTGACTCAGTTCTCTATTTTCTGGTCTTGTAGCTGAATCAGCAAAGACGTTTTCAGGATAACCTCAAGCGTTTGCCACCCCAGTGCAGCTCCTGGCTATTGTCCCAAGACCCTTATGGGCTGCCTGGCCCAGAAGGCTGCTGACTCTTGATGGATGGGGGCTGGAAGCCAAGTGCAAGGACCTCCATTTTCAGTTCTGGAATCTTCTCCTTCTCTCCTGGACTCTGAAAGGCTGCCTCTTTTTTTCCAGCCTCACACAGTATGCATGGCCTTCATAGCCAAAGTCGCGGAGTAGCCATTGAGACTTTCTCAGCCATATCCTAGGTGTCTCAGCTGGGCCCTGGCCCCAGGTCCTCGGTCACATCCTCCTCCGTGGCCTTTTGGATCAATCACTCACAAACTGTACCAGATGGCATGTGACTGGTCACTAGGTAGGACACTACTCAGGAGTTACTGCAAGATCTTCCTTCTGGACCTGGCTGTGGTCTAGTGGAACAATTAAATCCTTGGGTTGTAAATGAATTCAGGCTTGTCAGCGATGACTTTTGGCCTTTTGAATAGCTGATGCCTTGTTGGGGGTGAGGGGAGGGGCTGTCCCGCACATTGTAGGTTGTTTAGCGGCATCCCTGCTTTCTGCCTTCTAGAGACGAGTAGGACCTTCCCATTTATGACAGCCAAAATACCCCCAGACATCGTCACATGTACCCCAGAGCAAACTCGCTCAGACTCCCTCCACACAATGATGGTGACAGAAGTCAGACTAGCGGTTACCTCTGGTGGGAAAGACCACAAGGAACATTCGGAAGTGCTCGGGATGTTCCGGGTGGTGGTTAGACATCAAGGTGGATGTACTTCAAAACATGACCCTTAGTGTCAGATAGAACCAGACTGGGGTTTCAGTCCTGACTGTCCCTAAGGCTCGGCTTCTTTACATGAAAAATGGGGAGAATAATAGGACCCATCTCACTGGGTTATTGCAGATATTCAATGAGACAGCCCAGTCCTGCACATGGTAAGGTCTTTGGGAATATGAACTATTCTTATAATGTAGTGTGTTTTTCTTTGGGAATATGAACTATTCTTATAATGTAGTGTGTCTTTCTGACCCTCAGTTTCCCCAGTTGTGTCCGATGGCCTTGAAGGTCCTTTGGCTTTTTCTTATGGTCTTGGAGCCATGTTTTTACCCATCTCCACAGCTCTAAGGTAACTGATTCTGTAAAACTGATCAAAGTTTGTCATCAGAGTGTTTAGGAGAACTGGAGTTGATGAAATATTAACAAGGATATAGAGCATTTGGGTCAGAAGTTTTAGAAACTGGAAGAAGCAAAGCTCAAGGCTGTGGTGACCTCACCAAGCACAGGGTCGCTCTGCACAGGGTCACCCCTTGCTTTGTGAGGCTCTGAGGCCGACCTTCATAACTCAGTCCTCATTCTCTTACTGGGTGGGGCTGAGAGCCTGTGGAAATATACACCTTAGGTGGAAAGGTGAAATAGAATTCAATTGTCAAAAGGGTAGTCTCAAGCAGAACACAGTTCACTCTGAATCATCTCTTTTGTGAAGGCTTAAAAAAAAGCCACCCCCAAAAGGCACAACCTACCTTAGAGAGCAGAGGGGGCTGGGCTTGTGGGAATCAGAAGTGTAGTTGGCATCAAGTTTGAGGGTGGGGATGGGAGGAGAGAAGATGGGAAGGTTGTCCAGCCCTCGTGGAAGGTGCATAAAAAGCGTCCACTCTGGGGAAGAGCCACCGTTCTCAGCCCAGGCTCAGTGAGGCTCCTGTCTACACCTGTCTACCATCTCGTTTGCACCATGAGTTGTCGCCTGCAGAGCTCCTCTGCCAGCTACGGAGGTGGTTTTGGAGGTGGCTCTTGCCAGCTGGGAGGAGGCCGCAATGTCTCCACTTGCTCAACCCGTTTTGTCTCTGGGGGATCATCTGGGGGCTATGGAGGTGGCATGAGCTGTGGCTTTGGCGGTGGGGCTGGTAGTGGATTTGGAGGTGGCTTTGGCGGTGGGGCTGGTAGTGGCTTTGGAGGTGGCTTGGGTTGTGGTTTTGGTGGTGGCTTTGGTGGTGGCTTTGGTGACTTTGGGGGCAGCGATGGCGGCCTCCTCTCTGGCAATGAGAAGATCACCATGCAGAACCTCAACGACCGCCTGGCTTCCTACCTGGACAAGGTGCGTGCCCTGGAGGAGGCCAACGCCGACCTGGAGGTGAAGATCAGAGACTGGAGTCTGAAGCAGAGCCCAAGCAGCCCAGAGCGTGACTATAGTCACTATTACAAGACCATCGAGGAGCTTCGTGACAAGGTGAGCCCTGGGATGCTGAGAAGGGTTCCCAGTGCAGGGTCGAATGTGAAGGCAGGAAACACAGTATCCCAGGGCCAGAAGGGACTATGCAGATGGAGTTCTCACTCTCTTGCAGGGGAAAATTCTAGGTTTTACTACCCAGAGTCTTCTCCTGATGAATTTCCTCAGGCCATAACATCCTAAATGCATTTTCTCCCATTATTCATTTTTATTGGTCTTATTACTCATGTCAATTGTTTATTTAAATTTTTACTGCTTTCCAAACAGTTATCCTATTAGTGACTCCATCTCTCTAATCCTATTCTACTGAGTTGCTTGGAAACCATGACAATTTTAAAAGCCTCTAAGAATGTCTAAAGTCAATAGAGAAAGGGATTCATGTTCATTCATCCGTCTGGAAATAACAGTTTATTTTGTAGGAGCCCCATTTAAACTGCTCTTCTCAGTTGGTGACAACCAACTTGGGGTGATGGGGGGGGTCAGTGGCTTAGATAGTTCTCAGTCTAGATTCTCTCAGTCATGGCTACCAGCTTGTTGGAACCGAACGCCACCAACCTGGGCTGAGCCCCAGCCAGGTGGGGTGGTTTCTAAGAGCTTTGCAATAGAAAAGCTTAGAAAAGAAATTCAAATGCAGGGAAATATTAGTTGGATTTCCCTCATGCTCAGCTGGGAGACCAACTCCAAGTATGCAGAGCCCACTTGAGTCCCTCCTGACTCCAATGAGAAGATTCTAATGACTGTGGTCTGGAACATTGCTAGTCTGAGGCTATGGAGATCTGACTAATTAAAGATGATCTCAGTGGGGTCGTTATCCTTAAATGCACACTTGGGGGCACCTGGTTACCTTGTCCCAGCTCATGTGACCAAAAGCAGCTCCTTCCCTCGTTTTCGTAGTCCTCCTCCCCAAGCTCGTGGTCACTCTGGAGGGGAATTCTTCTGTATTTTGCAGATCCTGGCAGCCACTATTGACAACAACCGGGTCGTCCTGGAGATTGACAATGCAAGGCTGGCTGCGGATGACTTCAGGCTCAAGTGAGTTTGTTTCTCTAGTTTGCTTTTTCCAGCAGTCTCTTAGTTTAGATAAAAGCTCAGCTGAGAAAGGAATCTGGGGCATTTTAGGAGCAGAGGTCTTAGAGATATAGCAGAATCCAGCTCAGGGTTAAGGACAGTCAGATAAAATTGGTGAGTTGCGTTTTCAATTTTGTTTGGCAATCTTTCAGGTATGAGAATGAGCTGGCCCTGCGTCAGAGCGTGGAGGCCGACATCAACGGCCTGCGCAGGGTGCTGGATGAGCTGACCCTGTCTAAGACCGACCTGGAAATGCAGATCGAGAGCCTGAATGAGGAACTGGCCTACATGAAGAAGAACCATGAGGAGGTGAGAGGGCATCTTGACAGCTTCCACTCTGGGGTCTGGAGGGTCTTTCTTGGTACTTCCCCAGGGTTCAGATCCAAGGGTAGCAGGAATGGGGAGCTTCACACATCTTCCTGTTCCACCCTCACAGGAAATGAAGGAATTCAGCAACCAGGTGGTAGGCAAGGTCAACGTGGAGATGGATGCCACTCCAGGCATTGACCTGACCCGCGTGCTGGCTGAGATGAGGGAGCAGTACGAGGCCATGGCAGAGAAGAACCGCCGGGACGCTGAGGAATGGTTCCACAGCAAGGTGCTCTGACCCTCTCACCCACAGCACCTCTTCATTTGGGCCCCATATCTGGGCTCCTCCACTAGCTTCTGCTTGAATTTCAGAGCGCCGAGCTGAACAAGGAGGTGATTTCTAGCACAACCATGATCGAGACCAGCAAGACAGAGATCACAGAGCTCAGGCGCACACTGCAGGGTCTGGAGATCGAGCTGCAGTCCCAGCTTAGCATGGTATTCCCATGGCTCCCTGCCTGGCCATCCCCTCTAGACGCCCCTCTGGCCTGGCTCCTATCATGACTTCTCCCTTGCCTCACCAGAAAGCCGGTCTAGAGAGCTCCTTGGCAGAGACAGAGTGTCGCTACGCTCTGCAGCTACAGAACATCCAGGGCGTCATCAGCAGCATTGAGCAGCAGCTGAGTGAGCTCCGCAGTGAGATGGAGTGTCAGAACCAGGAGTATAAGATGCTGCTGGACATCAAGACACGGCTGGAGCAGGAAATCGCCACCTACCGCAGCCTGATCGAGACCCAGGATGCCAAGTAAGTCCTCAAGGTCTCTCAGGAAGTTATAGTTGGGCCCTGGGTGTCAGAGCAGGGGGGCCTTCATGCCACAGAGGACAGGAGGAGGCTGAGGCAGGGGACGGACTGATCTGAGCTTCAGCGGCCTGGAAGAAGATCCTGAACCAGAGCCCTCTGTTTCCTGAGCAAGCTGCATCACCCACACCTTGAAGCTTTCTAATTCATGTCTCTGAATTGGATAGAAAGAAGAGGGACCATGGACTAGACATCTAATATCGGAAAAGTATTAGCTTAGATTCCGCTTAATCAATTGCAGGGCTCAGGAGACCAGGGGAATGGGAACACTAAGTGAACCAGGGACAAGACAAAGCTTTTGGAAAATTCCCTGAAGTTCTGAATCCCTGGGACCAATAATATCTCCTCTGAGGCCTCTCTGACAGACAAACAGACAGACAGACCTGGGTTGGGATGGAAAAACAACTGGGTAGAAAAACCCAGCCAGGGCTTCAGCTGATAATATGAGTCCCCATGAGGAGAAGTGAGCACCTGCTCTTGGCTACTTTCTGTTCATTGCTTCCTCTCTTCTCTCCCAGGATGCCTGGCTTCAACACTGGAGGTAAGACAGAACTCTATGGGAAGGTGGGGTCAGGATCTGTTCATAGTCCTGGGTGGGGAGTCAGGGCTAGATTCCCCACTGTAGGGAGGAAGGGAGATGGGGTGAAAGTGGTCATTGGCTCTTTCATTTTCCATCAAAATATACCCCCCTCGCCCCAAATAGCTATTGGGATGCTCCCATCAATGCGCCACCTGGCTAATCTGGGATTTGTGAGCCCCTCTGGGGCTCTCTCTGAATTTCTCTTTTCTCCTTCCATTTCCTAGGGAATGGCAACGCCACTGGTGGTCGCCGCCCTTCTGAAACCCTGCGAAGGGTATAAATCCTGCCTAGCATCCACTCCTTTTGTCTTCAACACCCAGAAGAGGAGTGAGCAGGTGGCCCCCTGAAGGAGAGAAGAAGAACTGCAGGAGGGGAGACTGCTCCCCACTCCTCACCTCCAGCCTGAGGGGGCCCTTAGTGCTCGTCTTTCCCGGTGACTTCTGCCCTCAGATCCTACTATTCTTTGATTTCTCAGCTTCTCTACTAAAACAAAAAGATCTGTCAATAAATTTTCCTGACTTTTGCAAACATATTTTCGATTCTAGTCTGGTTTCTGAGGTTGGCATCTGTCAATGCCCCGATTTAGGGCTGGGGGAAGGTGGGTGCAATTGGGCATGAGGGTCAACCACCAGAGTGCACAGGTTCAACAATGACAAACACACAGGATGGTGCCCAGCAATCATGGACCAAAGTTACAAACCAGACACATGCAGGGGTGGGTGACCCAAGGCAGCCTCTTTGGTATGGCCAACAATCAAGACAACACAGGACTCTACTGGAGGCAGGTGATGGGGCCAGAGTGGGGAAGAGGTAAAGAGGATTCTGGGAAAGGTTGTGAGGGGCTGGCTAAGGGGTGATCTGGGAAGAAGACTTGAGGTGTGAAGTTCTGGTGCTCGCTCCATTTGGCCCGTGGCATCCAGTCCTGGATCCCACCCCAAGGTTCTGCTTTCCAAACTGGAAGCCTGGCTGCCCTTGTTCCATGAGTGAGCTCAGCCTGAACAGATGTTTCTGCTTCCCAGTCTCTCTGCATGCCCTCTGCTCTCCCCACCTCTTAAGACGTCGCCCTTGGATTTGAGGCCTCGTTTTGCTCTGTTCAGTCCTTTCCTTTTGGCTTGTTCCCTTGGATTCTGGCATAAACACCTCTGCTTGGGCCATTGGGAACATGTGTGTGGCTACCACGACCAGCATGCTCTGATGGTTTCCAAACCTTCTCACTTCAGACTCACACACCAGCTGTGCACAGGACATCACCACCGCAAACCCACAGGTTGCAGGCTCACCATTTTCCCCGACCTGCTTCTTCTTGTCCCTGCCTCAGAGAACCTGGAATCCCAAGCCAGGAACCTGGCTGTCATCTTGGACTCCTATTTTCCTCCCCTTTCCCAAACACTTCCTGTAGCGTTTGCTTTAACTGTAGCTTCCTTTCCACACCTCTGGTCCTAATTTCCTGGGTGTGTGACCTCCATTCTTAATTCCCTTTCCCCGCATGCTCTGCACTCCAGCCAGGGTGATTGCTTGAAACCACATGTCTTTATCCAAAATCTCCCCCAAGAGCGTCCCACGGGCAACCCCAGAATCCTGCCATTTGGAAAGATCCTTGCTGGTTAGGACGTCTCAGGGTCCTTGTTTAAAGTATGGCCTCAGTGTGCCCCAACTTTCCTCCTGCCCCTTTTCTTTCCATCATGGTTGTATTGGAGACTCCAGATTTATTTGGTTTGTTCAAAAGTGGGCTCAGATGTGTGTATCAAGGAAGCCTGCTGTGGCTTCCAAGACTGAAGTGGGCAGTCTCTGTGTGGGCCCTGAGCTCTGTCCAGAGACCCATTATGATGCCCAGTGGATGTGGATACTGCGAGGTGTTTATATGTCTGTGCCCACAACCCCAGAGTTAATGAAGAGGGGATAAGTCTTCTTTACCTTTGGTAACCTTTGTTGTTGTGGTTGTGAAGTGCCATAGAGTCAGTTCTGACTCATAGCCACCCTCTGTAGGGTTTCCGAGACTATAAATCTTTGTGGGAGCAGAAAGCCTCATCTTTCTCCTGTGGAGCTGCTGGTGGGCTCCAATTGCCAACTTTGCGGTTTGCAGTCCAGTGCTTATCCTACAGAGCTACCATGCTCCCCTTGTGATCCCTGGGGCCTAATATACTGCTACTTTGGAGGAGGACTACAGTAAATGTTTCTATGAAGAGATTTCCTCTCAGACTGGGGAAATTCCTCTCAGATGCCGTTTGGTTTTTGTCACAGGGTTTGAGACCAGAGAGTAGGTCTAAAAGTCATCTCGCACCCTTTCCTGTCCCCTTCCTTCTCCTCTCTAGTCCTCTTGCTTCATTGATTTCTTCTTTCATAATCTTGCTTCTCTTCCTCCACCCAAGCTGGCCATGGGCTTCAGATAATTGGCTTGATGCCACCGGCCTCACTCAGATATGGCTGACTCATCTTTCTAAGTCAGAAGAACGGTGTCTGCCCTCAACTTACTCCAGAACGTCCACCTGACACACGGCAGGAGGTGGGGTCCAGTTCATTTTTTTTATGGCCAGAACTGGTGCTAGGAGCTAAGGAGTCAAAGAGAAACAGGACACTGTCCAAAGCCCAAAGCCTTTGTCCTTTCTTAGTTAATCTATTTAGTTGTTGCATTTGTTAAGTGCTGCCAAGTTGGTTATGACTCATAGTGACCCTGTATAGGGTTTCCAAGGAACAGCTGGTGGGTTTGAACTGCTGACCTTGTGGTTTGAAGTCCAGTGCTGATCCTACAGTGCCAACTGTTTATTGACTGCCTACTATATACCAGAAGTTCTGGTGTGGCGCTGTTGGTTAATGCGCCAGACTACAAAGCTGTTTGAACTGCAAGGTCGGCGGTTCAAGCTCACCAGCTGCTCCTTGGAAACCCTATACAGGGTCACTATGGGTCAGAATCGACTCGATGGCACTTGACAACAACAACTATATACCAGGCACTGTATTGGATCTTAGAGAGAGAGACACAAGTAAAAGGCAATCTTTGGTATGTACCCCAAAGAATTGAAAATGAGGGACTTAAACAAATACTTGTATTCCAATGTTCATGGAAGCACCACTCACAACAGTCAAAGGTGGTGGTGTTTGTGCGTCATGGAGTCGGTTTCGACTCATAGCCACCCTGTATAGGGTTTCTGAGGCTGGAAGTCTTTACGGGAGCAGAAAGCCTCATTGCTCTCCCAAGGAGGGAGATTCCAACTGCTGACCTTGTGGTTAGCAGCCCAACTCATAACCCACTATGAAGGAAATAGCCCAAGTGTCCACCAACTAATGAGTGACGAAACAAAACGTGTTATATTCATACGATGGAATATTATTCAGCCATAAAAAGGAATGAAGTATTGATACATGCGCTCACACAACGGACAATGAAATAATTTGTTGTTATTAAGTGCTACTGAGTCGATTCTGACTCATATCCAACATGCATAGGGTGTCTGAGGTGTGGCTGGTGAGTTTGAACTGCCAACCTTTTGACTCAAACCCACCTTATGGTCCAGTGCTTATCCTACAGTGCCACACCAGGTCTCCTTGAAAGCATTATGCTGAGTGAAAAACCTAGCCATAAAAAGGTCACATATTGTATAATTCTATTTGTTGTTGTTGTTAAGTGCCGTCGAGTCGGTTCCGACCCATAGCGACCCTGTACAGGGTTTCCGAGGCTGTAAATCTTTACGGGAGTAGAAAGCCTCATCTTTCTCCCGCGGAGCGGCTGGTAGTTTCGAACCACTGACCTTAAGGTTCGCAGCCCGATTCGTAACCACTACGCTACCAGAGCAGCAATATATAGAATATTCTGTTTGGGGTGATGAAAAGGTTTTGGCAGCAGATGGTGACGATAGTGACACAACATTGTGACTGTAATTAATGCCACTGAATTGAACACTTTAAAACGGCAGATTTTATGTTATATATTTTATGTTATATATGGTGGTTGGTGGTTGTGTGACGTGGCGTTAGTTCTGACTCATAGCGACCCTGTATAGGGTTTCTGAAGCTGTAAATCTTTATGTGAGCAGAAAGCCTCATCTTTCTCCTGTGGAAAGATTGGTAGATTCCAGGCCTTGTGGTTAACAGCCCAGTTTGTAATCCACTACCTTACCAGGGCTCCTTCTCATTATATTTGACAACAAAGCAAAAGTCAGCCTCTGTCTTCACAGAGTTCACAGACAAAATAGGAGGTGGGAGGAGAAGACACCCACAACAACAAATTATTACAATTGGGTTTTGTCTTTTGCAATAGGTGTTCTCTGATCTTCCCCCAGACTTCCAGCATCCTGAACCTGTCCCCAGGGCATCCTGTGCTGGTGGCAATCACAGCAAGTACCTGGTGGCTGGCTGCTGAGGGCACAGGCTCT